GCCCCCCGGGGACACGCCCCGCGCCCGCTGCCCCGCCCCCCAGCGCCGTGCGTCACCGTGACGTCGGGGCGGCACGGGCCGGCCCCGCTGCGGGCGCCCCCTGGCGGCGCGGGGGGGGGGGCGGGGGCGGCTGCGCTTCCCGTCGGCCCCCGCGGCGGTCACATGACCGAGGGCGGCCGGAAGATGGAGGAGCCGCCCGGCGCCGCGGCCGAGGACTCGTGGGCGAAGGTGGGTCCGTTCACCGGGCCCGGGGCCGGGGAGAGCGGGAGGGGCGCGGGCCGAAGGTCACTGGGCGGGCGGGGGGTGCAGCTTGGGCGGCCCAGGGGGGACGGGCCGGGGCGGACGGGGGGAGCCGGAGGTCTCCAGAGGCTTCTGGGATTAACGGGCCGGGAGGCTCCGAGGGGAGCTGGACCGGGAGCTGGGGGGTGACGGGCTGGGGGTCGGGGGGCTCCAGATGGGGCCGGGGGGGACGGGACGGGGCTGGGGAGCAGGGCTGGGGGTTCCGGAGGGTTCTGGGGCTGATGGGCCAGGGAGTGGCTCGGGGGGAGCCGGGCCGGGGGCCAGGGGGAGCTGGGGGGCTCTGGGGGGGCCGCGGTTCGCTGCCCCAGCCCAGCTGACATCTCCCCTCCCGCCGCCGCGGCACCGCGCAAGGTGGACGCTGCCTACGGTGACAATGGCCTGGACGCCGGTAGGTGCCCGGGCTGCCCCGCACCCTCTCTGTGCCCGGCTGGCAGCGGGGTCCCGCCGACCCCCCCCATCCCTCCACACCCCCTCGCTCACTGCGGGAACCCTCTTCTTCCAGCGTTCTTCATGGAAAACGCCAGGAAAGGGAGCATAGTGTCACGAGCCAACAGCATTGGCTCCACCAGCGCCTCTTCTGTCCCCAACACAGGTGGGTCTGTGGGGTTTGGCTGCTGTCACCACGGGTCTTTCTGCCCACTGCGGTGCCCAGCACGTTGCGGGGCTTCCAGCTCTGCTCCCCGAGCTGAGCCGAGCGCGGCTGCCCCCCCTCGCTGCCTGGGCAGGATTCAACCCTGGGCAGGAAGGCGGTGGGGGACAGTGCCGGGGCGTTGTGGTTTCCAGCAGTGTCTGGCGTTGGGAGTCGGTCGGGTTTTGACGCCTCCCCAAGGGAGCTGCCGGCACCTTCCCCCTGCCCAGCTGCGCAGCGAGCGGGCTGGCGGGGCCCCTCGCAGCGCTTGGCCTTGTCCCGAGCCGCCGGCGCTGAGCCCCTGGGCCGTGCGGGGGTGGCCGGGGCCCGCGGAGCCCCCCCTGCGCCCCGGGAGCTCGGCAGCCGGGCTGCTGCACGCTCAGGCGAGTCCCCTCCACGCAGACGACGAGGACAGCGATTATCACCAGGAGCCCTACAAGGAGTCGTACAAGGACTGGCGCAGGCGGGCGCACACGCAGGCGGAGCAGAAGAGGCGAGACGCCATCAAGGTAACCCGAGAGGCTGTGGGCGCCCAGCACCCCGCTGTTCACAGCACCTTCCCCTCCCTTCTGCTGCTGGATCCACCCCGACAGCAGCGTGCTGGGAGCCACCTTGGCTCTGGCTGCCTGCCTGGTGGGAGCTGGGATCTGGCACCTTTTGAAACAACCACTGTCTCACTGCTGACCTCCAAATACACGTGCTGTGGCTCTGCTTCCCCGCAGAAAGGCTATGATGACTTGCAGGCCATCGTTCCTACCTGCGAGCAGCAGGATTTCTCCATAGGCTCCCAGAAGCTGAGCAAGGCCATCGTCCTCCAGAAGAGTGAGTCTTGAGGGTGGGGAGAGGGAAGGGGGGTGCTATCAACCCTCAAAGCATGGAAGTTCAGCACTTTTGGACCTTCCGGTGTGACGAAGCTCTGGGGAAGCCCAGGCACTGGCCACCTCCACCCCCCCACCTCCCCAGGGAGAATCGGTGCAGCCGGGAGCTGATGCTGCCTGGGCTCGGGCACCCCCTGCGGGGATCTCGGGCGCTTGTGTGTGCTCTCAAATCCTCACTCTGTGTTTTCATGCTCAGCCATTGACTACATCCAGTTCCTGCACAAGGAAAAGAAGAAGCAAGAGGAGGAAGTTTCTACCCTCAGGAAAGACGTGATGGCGTTGAAGATCATGAAAGTGTAAGGGAAGAGCTGTCGGGGTCCTGCCTTCCTCTTCCGGCTGTTTTCCCCGCTGTCCTTGCCAGGCTCTGCGGATGCACTCCGTGCTTCGCAGGCAGCCCGGCTCCTGCAGTACCAAACCTGTCCCTGCCCGCTGCCTTCGCTTCTCCTCCAGCGGCTCGTTAGTGTGGGTCTGTCTCGGGTCGGTTGGTGGAGTTTAGTATGAAGGTGGATCTGAGTCAGAAGATGAACCTGCTCCCAGCGTCAGGAGCAGCTGCAGCTTCCCCGTGTTTATTTACTTGCAGGATTTTCTGCAAACTCTTGGTTCTCCCCATCCTGCAGCAGTTCTCCATGGCCAGTGCCAGGCAGAGAGCTCTGTCCCCACAGCTGAGCAGGAGCCGGGCACGGGAGGCCTCACTCTGCTGCTGAACACGGGGCGCTCGGTTTGTTTCAGGAACTACGAGCAGATTGTGAAAGCTCATCAGGACAACCCGAATGAGGGGAAGGACCAGGTCTCCGATGAGGTGAAGTTCAATGTTTTCCAAGGCATTATGGATTCCCTGTTCCAGTCCTTCAATGCCTCCATCTCTGTAACCAGTTTCCAGGAGCTCTCAGCGTGCGTCTTCAGCTGGATTGAGGAGCACTGCAAGCCCCAGGTGAGCGCGGGAGCAGCAGGCGGGCTGTGGCGATGGCAGAGGGAGCGGGGCAGAGCGCACTGCGCAGGACCGGGCATCCCCGTCCCCTCTCCCGGGGCTTCCGAAAGGGCAGCGTTTGGCTGTGACTGGTGCTGGGCTGGGGCAGCGCGGGGGCACGGGGGGGGACAGAGATGGTGCCTGAGCCCCAGCCGCTCCCAGCTGCCGGACTGGTTTGGTGCTGAAAGCTGGCCAGGGTGGGACAGAGCTCAGGAGGGTCCTGCCTGGTCCCCTTCACACCCTGGGCGGGGCAGGGAGGGCACAGGGCCGGGTCCCTGCGCTGCTGCAGCTGCCCGAGACGCTGGGGCCCAGGGCCGGGGTGGGAGCGTTGCCCTTACGGGTGTGGGGGGCTGGGCAGCCCGGGGGTGCAGGGGGGTGCCTGTGGCATGGGCCCCAGGCTCTAGCGGGAGTCACCCACCAGCGAACGACTGACCATGTCTCCTCCTGCCCCAGACGCTGCGGGACATTGTGATCGGGGTCCTGCAGCAACTGAAGAGTCAGCTGTACTGAGCCTTCCCCTGCAGCGCCGGCAGCTCTGGGGCACCCCCTGCCCAGGGGCCTGGGTGACGGGCGCCAGGAAGGGCTGGGCCGTCTCCCTCGTGGCTGTTTTTAAAGCTTCTCTGAATTAATTATTTATTGTATTAACTACAAAACCAAAACGAGGCTGTGCAGACACCTCTGCTCCACAGGTACTGTCACAGTTGATACTACCAAATATTTGTAGGCACTTGGCAAAGGAGGGGAAAAAGGTGTGTGTTGAGGAGAGGTCTTTTAGGGTGCCAGAGAGTCGTTAGCCCGGGCAGGCGTGGTGGGGGTCGCCTGCGCTCCCGACTCTGCGCTGTGGAGCGGAGCCGCTCTGTAACCTCAGGGCGCTGACACGAGCCCTTCTGATCCCGGGGGAGGGGGATGAAACACCAACGGCTGCTAAAAGCTGTTGGTTTCTGTTAAAACAGACTCGGAATAGGCAGCTCCTGTAACCGTGGGTGGTCTGGGGGGGGGCAGGGGTTCGGGTTGTGTAGGTGCGTTGGCAGAGCTGCCTGAAGGACGAGCCCGTCGCTGCCAGGGAGACGCTCGGGCAGCCGCGACCTCCCTGGTGCGGAGCCGGCGGCGCCGTGACCTCTGCTGCTGCCCTGGCAGGGAGACAGGAGGGAGCTTTCACCCGCTCACGCTGGTGAGCGCCCCGACGTGTCTGGCTTCACCCGTCATCAGGTTCTGACGTGGCTGTGCTGAACAGGGCAGCGGTTCAGCAGCTGTGACAGCGCTGCCACAAGCTCTCGCGGCTCCTCCTTAGAACTTAGACGCACACATAGACATAAGCAGCCTTGATTGGATTTGATTTTTGTTTTTGTGAATCACTGAAATCATACTGAGGTATTACCAGTGTCAGCTTCGCAGACGTGCTCTCTGGGACACTTGTTAACCTGTCACAGGCCGCTGCTGTCATCGCCGTGTGGGGCAGCCGCTGCCCAAGTGATTGTACCGGGGCCCCTCCGGCGCGGTGACACCAGCAGCGGGATTTGTTCTTTGTAATCACAGCTGTGCTCCCACACCAGGGCAGTCGATATTGATTTTACAGTTTTTCCACTGTTGAGGAGGTAGCACTTGGCTCCAGGTTACGTAGTTTGAGTGCTGCAGCAGGAGAATGTTTAAGCTAGTGCTTCTACCCACAGTTAGTAGCAGAGAACTTGCTCAGATGGTTGATTTTTATACAAAATTAGTCTTCAATCCCCACACTGGGGTGCCCTTTCTGCTGCACTGCAGCGGAGGCCCCGGAGCCAAACCCTGCAGTGACGCAGGGGCGGCTGTGCCTCAGCGGGACGCTGCTGCTTCGTGGTGACACAAATCCCTCTCCCAGGTGAGCGGGGGTGGGGGGTCAGGGCTCCGTGGCTGAACGAGGGGCACACACTGAACCCCTGGAGCTGCACTGCTGGAAGCTGCCTCCTGCCTTGGGAAGACGTGGAGTTTTACAGACCTCACACGTGAAAGCAATGTATTTTTCTATTGTGAAAAGTAATTACATAAATTTTGCTGAATGTTTTAATGATTTTTCTGCTTTTGTTGCTGTTGCTGAGTTCCTAGCGCCTACCCCTAGAGTTGGTCAGAGATGGACTCGTTTCTGGAAGCCCAGGCCAGCCCTCGCGGCTCAGGTTACCTGTTCCTGGCTCTCACCCTCCCCAGCCCTGCCCCAACACTCTCTGAATAGAGAAACACCACAGCAAAGCACAGCTCAACCAAAATCCTGGAGTTTAATGTGTCAGCTTCTCGAGTACCGCTCGGTCAGACTGTGGGAAGCAGGTGAAACAGTGGTAGAGCTCTGCAGCCATAACAGTCCCAAGTTCACTGGCCTTGCTGAGGCACTCACTTCTGTTCTTAGGGCAACCCCAGGGGCCGCAGAGCCGTGTACTTGCACCCTCCCCTACGCAGCCCCCTGGGGCCACCCTGAAGGGCAGGGAGAAATAATGTTCCCTCCGCCGGCAAGATGCTGAGAGGGCCCAAGGCTGAGTCCCTCCACCCCCCCCTTCCAGCTGCAAAGCATTTTAAAACAAACAAATAAGCAGGACAAGCCCAAGCCCCGCAAAAGGGGGAAAAAAAAAATCAACCCAACAGCTGAGTTGCTGCATCAGCTTCTGGTCCCTGGGGCTCACACAGCTGCCGGCAGCGTGACGTTGTGGTCCTCGTCCGTCTCGATCCCAACCTCCTCCTGCGCCAGCACGGAGCGGCTCAGCACCACGGCAGAGCCACCGCCACAGCCCAGCCGGCCTCGGTACTTACGAAGAATTGCTTCTTGCTTTTGGGGTACCCCTCCAGGATGGCCTCCAGCAGCTCGGTCGCCTGGCAAGACAGGGGTGCAGGGAGGGCTGTGGGGCAGCGCTCAGGGCCCGGCCCGCGCAGCGCGGGCACTTCCCGAGGGAGCGTCGGTACCCGCCAGCCTGCCCCAAACCTGCTCCCTGCTCCGCAGCTCCAGCGGTCGCCCGAGCTCTCCTCGCTCAGCACCGCACGGCGCCAGGGTGCTCAGCTCCCCGCGCCGCCCAGCAGATCCCCCGGCCCCGCGCCGATGGCACCCAGCGTCCCCGCAGGGCCGTCACCACCGCCCACCCGGCGCTGCCCACCCACCCTGCCCGGTGGCACCGCCGTTACCATGCGCTTCCGCCGCCGCCACTCCCGGCAGTACAGCCTCTGCTCGCCACAGACCTGCAGACAGCAAGACACAGTGGGAACAGACCAGGGAGCTGCTGTGAGCCCGTGGCCGGGAAGTGCCTGGTGCCAAGGACCCCCCAGATGTTCCAGCTACCACCAGAGGGTTATTTAACAGCACAAGTGGCCCGTGAAGCCCCTGCAGGGACATGAACCTCTCTGTAAAACCCATCACCCGAGCCAAGGAGAACTGAGTTCACCAACCGGTGGGTGACTGCACGAAGAAAAAGTTTGTAAGGAAAAGGCAGCTCAGGCCGTTTCCTAAAACCCCGAGCGGTGTCACCATCGTGCTCAGGGCTGAGGCTCCTCACGGGCTCTGCAGAGCAGCCCGGGGCCCACACGTCCCTGTGCCTCTGTCCTCCCAGTGTCAGTCGGGCTGGGCACTGGGTGACTGGTGGAGGGTTTGGTACAACCAGCCCAGCCCCTGCCAGTTCTTCACCTTCTCTTTCTCTTCTGGAGTCACGTGGCTGCTGGCAGACTTGATCCTCTCCAGTTTCTCTGCGTAACTCGCACAGTCCTTCCTCAGCTCCTCGACCTCTCTGGCCATCTCAGGGGTCGTCATGGAGCTGTTCAGGTCCTTCAGCTCTGGAAGGGAGGCAGCGATCGGGGCAGAGCCACCCGTGCCAGCGCAGCCACGGCCGCTGCCCGGGCAGGCAGGACCCACTCACCCGCCTCCGCGTGCCGGCAGCTCTGCTGCAGCGCCTGCACCTTGGCCGAGAGCGCGGCAATCTGCCCGTCCAGGCCGCGGAGCTCCGCGTCGCCGGCGGCCGGGAGCTGCTCCTGCGGCGAGACCGTCGGGGGGTCGGCGGGGCGGGCGCCAGCGGGGGTGCCCCCCGGGGCCGGGTCTCACCTGGGCGGCGAAGTAGATCTTCTGCTTCCCGTAGGTTTTCTCACGGACGCGGCCCTGCTGCGCCAGCTGCTCCAGCGCCTTCACCACGGCCTGCGGGACCAGCGCGTCAGCCGGCCCCGGGCCCCTGTCCCGGCCCCCCGGTACCGACCCCGGCCCCGCTCACCGCCTTGCCCAGCCCGTGCTCCCGCTGCAGGTTCCCGAAGGCGTCCTGGGCGCTGTACGGCCGGTTCTGCTCCCGCAGGTACCGCAGCAGGACAGCGGCGGCGCCCCCTGCGGGACAGCCCGCCGGTCACCGGGAGCGGGGCGCCTGCCCGCTACTCTGCGCCCGCCCGCTCTTCACTCCCAGCCCGTTACTCCCCGCCCCCCCCCCCCCCCCCCCCCGTTATTTATTTACTCCCCCGCCCGTTCTCCCCCTCACCGCCCGCCGCGGGCCCCTCCCGGCTTTTGCTCATCCTCCGCCCCGCTCCGCTCCCGTCCGGCGGCGTGACGCACTTCCTGCGCGCCGCCCGCCCACCGGGGAAAGGGACGAGCGGAGGGCTCCCATTGGCGGGTGATGCGAAGCCCCGCCCCGAAGGCGGGGCTAGCCCGGCCGCCCCGCGGTCCCGCCGCCCGCCCGCGGTCCCGCCGCCCCCCCCGCCTAACGGCCCCGCGGGCACCCGACGGCCAGCGCCCTCCGGCGGAAAGAGGCAGAGAAAGGGGTTTCCCTGAAGAGGCACGTTCTTTGCTGCACAAACGCGATCGGAACCCGGTTCTATGGCTTAGAAAAAGCGGCGGTAGGGGCGGGGGGCCGGGACCCCCGGCTGGCAGAGCGTCTCTCCCACGGAGGTCGCTGGTTTGTCTCCGTGACCGCGACACGCACGAGCTCTCCAGTCACGGGTGGCTCGGGCTGGCATCGACACAGGGCAGGAGGCAGCGGGCTGTCCCCGAGGCCAGAACAAAACCAGCCGGGCAGAGCAGCTCCGCCGCCTCCCGGCCCCAGCAGCCCCCCGAGGGCAGCGCGGGGGGACGTGCAGCGCTGCCACTGTCCACGGGGGCTCTTAGCAAAGTGCTCGTCCGCTATTTTAGGAAAGCGACACAGAACAGCTGCCACATATAGATGTTCTTTGCAGGACTCTAGTCATCACAGTAGATGTCTTATTGCCAGTACGTCTCTTACAAAATAGCATCACTAGGAAGCTGGAACTGGAGATGAGTGGTCATTGCAAGTACAAACATTGTGGCTGCACACCGTCGTGTCCACAACAGGAGCGAGGGGTGTGTTTCTACCCAGAGCTGGATATTGCTGGGATAGAAGACTTGGATTCTGTGCACATTTTAGGAGCGGGGAACAGTTGTCTTAAAGACAGAATAGCATTAAGTCCCAGACACTAAATCTGAGGGGAAACCAATCCTGTTCACCTGGTTACGCATCAGCCCCGGAAGGTCGGCTTCAAGATTGTCCTTGGCCATGCTACGTTGGTCTGACCGGTGGCCTCTAGAGCTGCAGACACCAGATTTATTGTCTTATGTGAAGAAGTTCGGAGCAAGCAGCATCCTGGCAGACAGGGCAGGGCAACGCATGGGTGATTGTGGAGCTATCACATCAACGCCTTTTCCCTATGAATTACCGGTGTAGTTTATTTTAAAATCCAAGCGAGACTACAGAGTCACAAGTCACAGTGGTGTTCCCAGCCAGGACTGGCTATCACGTCACTCATACTCACACGGGAGACAATCGAGACAACTGTGCAAGGCTTTTCCTTCCAGGATTCCCTCCACGATGCGCAACAGAAAACCAGAGGGAAGTGGTGGAATTGCTTACTGGCCCCGCGAGCCAGCAGGATCCAGCTGGTTCAGCTCGGACTGATCCAGCAGTTCAAAGTCATCCCCTTCCGCATCAGTGTCCAAGTCTGAGCTGGCCGTTCTGAGGTAAGTCTTTGCACCTCTCTGGGGATTGTCGCCACGTGAGGAGCCTGGCTGAGGGGCTCCTGACAGCGCAAGCTGTATCATCCCTCTGGTGACAAATCCAGCTATGTTGTTAGTAAGATTCTGTACAGATGGCAGTGCACCAGACTCTTCCTGGTCATAAGGGAGATGCAAATCTTCTGTCGCTTGTGGGCGGTAAGCCAGACTTGGGATCCCAATGCTGGTGTCATCTTCGTCATCTATGCCAGTTGCTTCTGGGTTTATGGAAGGGAAGTCAGGGAGATCTCTAGCAAAAGATTCTTCTGGGTCACTGTGACCGTCCAGGTCTAGAAGAGGAGAAAGTGCTTTGAATACATAGTACACGCCAAAGACCCCGCAGGCGAGGGCAGCACAGCACACAAAAGCTGGGCCATTACCTCCCCAAGACAGACCGTCTCTTGTCATCTCACAGACCAAACGCTCTTTAATCTTCCCCCCACACAGCTCTTTGGGATGCCTGCTGACCTCCCAGTTCACCCACAAGGAATGCAGGTGCTCAACCAGACACCTTCCCTTCTGCCAGAGGGAAGTGCCCCCTCCCAGACTTTGCGCTGCAACCTGTATCCCCACAGCCAGAGACTGGCCGAGCTGGATCTGCCTTTGAAGAGCAGCTGTCGTTGCTCTACTAAAGCACCACAGGAATGAAGGAGGAAGCTCAAATTCTGAAAAAACAGGTACTTGCATCTCATCTTAGTCAGCAAGACAGACATCAAACAGCTAGACCTCAAGGACAGAAGGCAATGCTCCCTCCCTCCAACCCGTCACACCGGTGCCTGCTCAGCACTCCACACCTTCCAGAAGCTGCCCATCCCCTCTCACCTTCGGATCCCTCTGTCAGGGGAGTCTGGCCTCTCGACAGGTTAAACATCCCGTTTTCAGTGTAGGAAACCTCAGCATCCGAATGCTCCGAGTCAGAGATGGTTAGTTCCTTGGCGACCACAGAGTCATCCAGCTTTGAAATTGGACATAAAATTGAAAACATCAAATACTGGAAAGCTCATTCCTGTGCCCCAAGGCAAAACACGTGATCCAGTGGCCACCAGTTAAACCCAGTCCTCACGGGAAGCTGGCATCTGAGGCTCATTTCACACTTTACTTCCCAGCCTAGGAGACTGTAGTTGGTACAAGCAGCTCTAGACATACCTGAGCGAGACAGAATAGGAAAGACCTCTCTAAAAGGAGAATATCCTCATCTGATCTTCCATCACAACTCGGCTAGAACATGCTGGATACAGGGCCATGGACTGCACGTCCACTCAATGCAGTGAGTTTGTTCTATTCAGCTGAGCTTTTCTACTTCCAAGACTTTTTGTTACCTTGGGACAGAATGCAGCAAGCTCCTCTTCACTGTCACTCCCATCATCCACAGCCTCCTGATTAAGGGATCGGTGACGCACTGCCAGAAACCAGAGTGAAAGCTTATTATTGGTGCTAGGACAGGGGTCTGTACAGGACCAGCCTCAGCAGAGCAGAAAGACCCTGAGCTGGCAAGCTTGGACGTGACACAACACAGCATGCTTTGTTCCACAGCAGAGCAACGTGATCATTCCTGACTTGGGCTGCTGCAGATCTTTTGCTGAGATGAACATGTTTAGCAGATACCTTGCACTGAGTCCTTCCTCTTTTTTTCAGTGCAAGTGCAGTATGGAACACACAGTTCTGGCAGCTGAGAAACGGAGCAGCTCAGCACTGTGAAGAGCTTACACCAACTGCTCACTGGGAGATGACTGCGGAGGCAGAGCTGCCTTGCTTCCTTCCCAAAGCAGTGGCAAGTATTTGCCAAGGGTGCTGGAGTGACTGCTGTGCCAGACACGCAGCCCCATCCCACTGCAGGACCAGGGGCTTGAGTCGCAGGCAGTTTCAGGTACCAAGGGTCAGAAACAAAGTACAGAAACTTACATTGCTTCTCCCGCTGCTTTGCTATCATGTAGCCTCGAACACTGAAATCCAGCCGCTGCAGAGCTGGCTCCAGCTTCATGTACATGCGCTGCCCCAGTCTGTGGTACACAGCAAGGGGCCACAGCAGGATGAAGAGCACTGGGGTAAGTGGGAACTCTGATTAGAAGTTTGTTCAGGATGCTACTTGGCAAACATCTTGCCCATTTTGTGACGCAGTATAACACGCACACGGTATGCGAGATCTGAGTACTGAAGGCAACGCTATGGGAGGCTGTTAGAACTGGTGCAGTCACCTCTGCCAATTTAACAAAATTGAGAGGTCAACCTATTAGTGCTCAGATCTATGGTCACTAAGCACTCCAACATGTTCTCTATGGACCAGAGACCTTAGAGTCCTGGACAAGAACCACCACATTCCAGGCAGAACGTATTATTTTATATTTTAAAGCCATTCACACAAGCTTCTGTTCTGAGCAGAAGAGCCCCATCCCTTGGACATTCAGATCCCATTCATCTCTAACCCCTCTTCTCCTGTAAGTCTGTACTTGGCACAGAGATCTACTTACACAGCAAGTATGAGAGCAAAAGTCCAGGGATATACCGGCCCAGGACAGCCAGGAAAGTAAAGACTCCACACACTAGAAGGCAAAACTGAAGACATGGGAGACAGTGAGTTTCCAGGGTTAAGCAGTGGATTCACTCATTTCCTGACTGTCTTGTTCTCTGCAGATTCTAGGTCAAGACACAGTTCTAACAATAGCAAAGCCTTGCTAATGTCCAACTACCCCGTTCTAGGACTAGTGCAGACACAGGAGGTATCTGGCTTCAGAGCGACAGGCAGCATCCTCTGCCTCAGCATATGAGGAGCTTCCCAAAGCAGGTATGCTAAAAGCAAGGAAGAGGCCAGAGACGACAGAACTCTTCAAGGTAAGAAGGACAAGGACAGTACCACCATGTTACAGGTTCCTCTCTGCATAAGCCTCAAAAAAAAGAAGAAAAAGGAAAATAAACTTGACACACTTTCTCAAACTGTGGAAGTCCAAAGAGGTAGATGAGTTTGACAGACACTTAAAAAGCCAGAAACCTACGGAAGGAACAGCTACGTTTTCACTTCACTAGTGCAATCAACATGCCGACATGCATTTCCTTCTCCCTCCTCCACAACCTGATTATTCTGCCTGTGCTTTCTATTCCTCTCCAGCACTTAACAGGCACGTTGTTGTGGGAGACCTCCCGTGGTAACCTCCTGTGTCTGAATGCATTCAGCCAACGCTGGATGCAACCACAAGAGGATACTAGTGGTCAGCAGAGGCTCCACACTAAATATGTTTTTTGCTGAGCTCTGTACATTCTTACCTTTCCAGGGTTTTCCCTCTTGAAAATGAAGAGATTACTTAAGAAGTTGGTCCCAGCCACCCATCCTTCAGCCAAATGGTGACAGAGTTCTGGCACTCCGAGCAGCCGAGGGTGAACGTATCCCCAGCTGCAGTGAAGGGAAGAATTTGGGAACAGATATTACTGCGTTGACATCAGTGCAGGAGTCGCTTGTTACAAACACTCGTCTCAATACTACCTTCTCTTCTCCCCCAGCCACTGAGCTCCAGAGATAAGGGTCAGCCTGCCTTCAGAACACCACCTTGCCAAAAGCAGCACTGCTACGTACCATTCTACAAGTGTCCCAGTTCTCCCACAGCAGCTAAGGAGCAGTAATTTCAGCCATTCAGTCTT